AAATCATCTGTGGCTCGCAACTGCCATTAAATATGTGTAGTGTGACAGTAACTCAATATCACATTTGAGTTAAAAAAGGTCCACTATTCATCATGTTACAGACACTCCAATAAAGCATGTGCCCATTGAGCACCTCTTTAGTTCGCAATACTCAGCTCAACAGCTGAATGGGGAAGTGTTAGACACAGCTCCTGCTGTTGATATCTGAAATTTGAAATGCAGTACCTAACTCTTTATCTTTCACCTCCCACCGTGTTTAAAGCATGCTCAAGTGTCAGCCCTTGAACTGCACATCAGTTCATTGCAAACTATGAGAAAAGGAACCCAGTGGTGAATGAGAGATCCCTGGTGAACAGGCCGCCACAAACTTGCTTAGCATCTCTTTAAGAGCTGCCAAATTCCAGTGCGACATGGCAGGCTCAACTCAAGGTATGTAGCAGTGATATGAAGTCAAGTTTGAATAATTCATTACTCCATTCACATAAAAACCAACTGAGCTACTGTACTTATGCACTTGCTGTTGCCACTTAGTTCAGGACCATGCAAGTTCTGTCAGATCCAACTTTAAGTAACAGTACACACACTGTAGTGAGTTGTCAGTGTAGAGGATGTTACTATCTTTTTCCTGTTTGGGGGGGAGTGTTTAGAGAAAGATATGCACTTCAATGAAAAAGAAAAACATATACAGTATGCAGTTGATATGTGTACAGTAGCTGCTTGGAAAAAGAGAGAAAACTGTGCCCCAGCTGAGTCCTATCACAGGAAACAATCAAATACATATTCTAGTATTCTAGTCAGCCTTTTCAAAGGTCACACTTCTATCCCGTGGATTCAAATCTCAATGGAAAAAGCTTATCAAAGCAATTTTGCCCAGCCATCCAGCCATCCACCCAACCAATCCGCAATGAAACAGACTATGTTAAAGGCTATTTTACCCCTCTGCCTATGACCTATGAAGAGTAGTGAGCAACCACTGCACAGTACTCCATACGTAGGCAATACCCTGAAAGGCTGACACTTCACCCACGCTATTGTCAGTTTAGAAATAAAGTGAGTAGCAATGTCAAGAGCTACATTAATATAACTTCTAGGAGTATTACCAATGTATCTCTTCTAATGATTTTTGTTTCAATATCAAAAGACTGGGGCAGCAGCTCTAGGCTCATAAAAGAACATATTAATTTATAAAAACTAGTTTCCCATTAGTGATTTTCAACTGGTAAGTGAGATACAACCATGGAACGGTTGGGAGTAGAATCCTTGCTCAAGGGTAGGGAGAGCATTAAACACTCACTTTGCACATCCAGATTTCACCAGATAAGGGGACTTGAGCGGGCTTTCCACTTCTAAGCGCCCTTATCGTGCAGTAATCACCCCAAACTCCTGTGGACTTCTCTGTCAGGCAAATTTTTACATGGGTAATTAAACTGTTACACAAAACAGCAATGATTCTTTGAGCACATTAAGCTCCAGACATATGCTGGCACCAGTCCTTCTTCTAGTAACATGTCAACAAAGATGATCTGTGTGTTACAAGTACTTCATTCAGTTTGCATCTCTCTAATTGAGGAATATGCATTGACTTTATGTGCACACATACTGAGCCAAATTATCGTCTCAATAAACAGTTTATGGCCACACTTCACTGGATGCACAAAGTTTATTATTAGCTGGCAGTTTGCTGGTTGGCAGGAAGGGGAGAAGAAAGGAAAAAATGCAAACACAAAACAGTCGGAGTGGGAATAGGAACTTGACAGTCAGTCAGGGCAATTTATCATTCTGTCAAACTTCACTGACTGCCGCAGCAGAACTATCTACAGTGCGAAAAATCTCCACCCCCAACCCAAAATGGCTGAGTGTTGAAGAGAGTAAGGCCAGCAAATAAAACCTGCCATGTGCAGTAGACATGTTTGTCATTTTACAGCCATTTCACCTGCTTGGCCTCACATCAATGAAAGCTATTACTCCTACCAAACATACATAGCCAAAATGTTGTGATGGAGGTGTAACGAAACAATCAGATACCACTGGTATTAGTATGATTCACGAAGTCATGGTTTGATACACTCACCATAAAATCAGTTTGACCATGAAAGTTGGAAATGTGTATTCTTAATACTATAGTACTACTATACTGATTTTTCTTATAGATTGTGTTACAAATGCACATCTCTTCTCTCTACTCTAATATAATACTATAATTTGATAGTATGTGCAAAACAAGCATTTGAAATGATACAAATTCTGCAAACAGACGAAACACAAGCAACTTAAACACAATTGCCAATTTGACCACATTCAGTTGTTGAGAGAATTTCCCTGGTCTTTGACTAGCAGAGCTTGTGTATTTGCTTGTGTTTTCTGTATTAGCTGCAAATTTCTTCATGCTGTGTATGTGTTGTCAGATTACAGAACTTGGCAAAGTTTCAGTTTGTTAATCTCCATAAACCTTTGCTGAAGAAAGTAAAAAATAAATGTGTGAACATTTGAACCAACAGTCTCTGAACATTAGTTGGCCACAAAAAACACCAATTTCCAAAGCAAATGTGATGAAGGACATAACTGTTTTAACAATAATACTATACATAAAAGTTTCTAAAAAAGGTGACTATATTCACTACCTGGGATTAAAAACCTGTCCTTTTTTAATGTTTTTTTTGGTGTCTGTGTGTTAATGGTAGTTTGGCTAGTTCAGTTGTAGGATTGCTTTCATTCATAAGTGAGATACCCCATATGCCGTGACTGTACATTCATGTTGCCTATGCACTGGTTGGAGCAGACTGTTCTGCATATCCAACAGATTTAAAGGAATTCCATCGATAGGTAATTAGCCTATTACAACCTTTCAGTTGTACCACGTCCTTTGGACAAATCGCCCTTACTACAATAACTGACTCAAAGATCCCATGGCAAATGGCTTCTTTTCTGATGTGCTAGGAGACAGTCCTGTGATTACATTTAGTCTCGGGCCCTCTCATTTGACCAGCATATCATTTCTTCCCTGGCAAACTTCAAAGTGTGGACACTTCAAAGTAGAATGAGTGACTGCCACTCGGACTCTGAGGATGGCTCTTTTGATCATCTTCTGAAAACTCCCCTAACGCAATCAGGGCAAGCACCAGAGAGGAGGATTTGACAGCCATAAGATAAATGCAGTCATCCTCACAGCTATCAGATAAGCACAGCAGGCTCTAATCCATTAATATGAAAATGAGGGAGGACTGGAAATGGCTGGGTGGGGGCTTTGCAGCAACAGTTAAATGCTTTGGAATGAGTTTTCAAAGGGAGGATTCAGTATTCAAAGCACTTAATGATGTATGTGTGCTCTGACTAGCAGCCACCTAAATAAATTATAATGATAATAATAAAGATATTCTTTGCTAGTGCACCTTAAATGATAGTTTACAAACTGCCAAAGAAAACCGGAGGTCTCCCTGCAGTGATAAGAACCTCCTCAATACTCATCAACATGTTTGATTTTGTGGCAGGATGTTCTCTGCTAACACATTAACTACTGCCTTGAGCAAGTAACAAAATCTATGGCTTAGAGTATCTTTTGTTGTTTGTTAACTGCTTAGAGAGTCTCATTTTAAAATGGAAGTGCACAAGTAGCAACATCTTAGGGGATATTTTAATTTTTTTAATACTTACACTTAGAACCTACAGCACTGGTTCCCAACCTTCAGCTTCATTGAAGGACCTCTTGATTTTAAAGGGTGTAAGAAAACCTTTGAAAAATATATACAGTAGGCCTATATCTCTGCATTTCATTCATTTCTGTGAGGAAAATAAAATTGTTTTTTAGATTATTATTTAAGATATAAAATTAAATCTCACAGGATAAGGGCAGGGTGAAGACCTGAACAAAAGTTATATTCATAGAGCGTTCACTCTCTGCTATAAAACAAATAAAATACTGAAATTGTTGCCCAAGAAAAGAAACCTATAAATTATTAAAAATAAACAACATATTTTTTTCGTATTATTATGCATTGAATGTAATATATAATATCCATAAAACATGTCACTTAGTCAGGGGTTATCAGTTTACTCCCTGATAGAAATGGGTCCCTGGTGGAAAAACGTTGGGAACCACTGACATAGGGCATATGGATAATTTTTCTAGGATAGATAGTTTTTTGTTTTTAGCTGATTTCATATTCATTCATTTATAGTAAAGAAGGTCACATCATGTAACAGCTGCCACTGTTTAAACCTGGGGAGTCCACAGAGTACACAATTTTACAATACCCTCTGTGAGAAACTGCATATGGATTTGTTGGTGGTGCAATGACTCAGGAAACTTTGGCTACTCGTGAAATTACTTTTATTAATTAATCAAATATTATACGGTCAGCCTGCAGCAGCATGTGGTTGCATTAGCTACATAGTCCCCATTATGTGGGACGGACCAGTCTGTGGATGAATCTGAACTTAGGGCAAAATATATCAATATGGTAAAGAAGTGTCGACACATCAGTAACCATTCATTCTATGTGATTTACTTGGTTTTTATTTATCATTTTATCTAGACATCATCAAAGTTAAACTGAGGTTGAGTGTGATACATGCTATATTTATGCATAAAAACAAATAATTATTTTATTTTACTATCTTTCAAGCTATTTAGAACAATGACAAATAATGATTTAGCCATTGCTTATGCCCCAATGCTAGAAGGCAACATCATTGTAGGAGTACTCATGTCCCACTCTCTCCATAACACTGTATGTTCACTTGAATATATTACAACATCTATTTGTCCCCCGTCTCCTTCTGTCATGAATGCATCCAACCTCATCTATCTCTCACTCCATCCCTTTCCCTTTTCCATCCCTTCATCTGCAACATAACTACCAGTCCTTTCTCGTCTATCACCTATTGATCCCGTTCATGCTTCCTCATTTCCTCTCTCTGTTCATCCATCGCCTCGTCCGTCCATCCATTTATCCATCCACCCACTCATTAGCATAGGTATGTGAGAGGTGAAGTGAACTCACCTAATGGGGTTATGTGTCTCCAGGAAATGGTTGGCTCAGGTTTCCCACTGGCTGTACAGATGAGCGACACGTTGCTGCCCTCGTTTACCGTGATGTCAGAGGAAATGTCATATATCTTGGGAGGAACTAGAGGTAAAAAAAAAATTAAAAAAATACAGAAACAAGATTAGCATTTCAAATCTGCAATCTCTGGTTCATCCAATATCGTCTATACGTAATACTACATAGGAAAGTAAAGGAAGGCCTGGTGGATATTACAGTCAGAACTGGCCTGTGTTCCAGTTTTAAACAAGCAGATGCAGTAGAGATACATGCTATACTTAAATAACCCTTCACTTTAGGTAAAACCATACTACCTTTCACTCAGACTCCATGATTGAGTCTGACATTACCATATTGTTAAATTTTCCCTGTAGGGGGGAGGATTTAATTTCCCCCTTGCCAATCACTAGTTTCCAGCCGCTCTGGTGACATTTTCAATCAAAACTTACTGCCGAAATGTACAGTTAATTTAAGTAAAAGAACATAATCATTTGGTTAAAAGCCAGTAACACATGACAAGGTGTCTTGATAACGGAAAATTATAGGCATAGCATTGTTTTTGTAGAGACTTTGCAGTCATTATGTTACTGTATTGATACCCAAAAAACCCTTGTGATTTGACATGATAATATGAGGAAAAACAGAATCATTTGAACAGAAGCATTACTCTTATTATATATATATATATAT